AAGGTGTGGGCGGTGCTGGTTGCTGAAGGCAACCGTTGCAAAGTACTTCATGGGATCATGTTCTGTTAGTATTGCCGGTGACTACTTTTCTGTTTTGCATTGTGTTTCGTGTGGACAATTTCCTCCATTTGGATTGAGTTTTGCTGCTTTTGTTTCTGGACTATTTGGCAGGTTTGTTACCCATATTAAAAGGGGTTTGTTTTCTTTTGAGTCTCCAGCCTATTTTCTCAACAGGGGTTTTGTCCTTGTGCCTTTAACAAGGACGGCCATAGGCTGGGACAGAACACCTCTGTCCATAACCATAAAAAAATAAAAACAGAATAGGAATCCTAAAAGGCACTTCATGGCTTTAACCTACAGTGGCTTCATTTGTTAAAGCAAAGGTCCCCAACCTTTTTGGCTTTGTGGACCGGTGGCGGTGGTGGCAGGGGAAGGGAGGGAGAGGGAACGGTTCCACGCAAGCGGTGGGCAAGCGTGCTTGCACGCGCAGTGGCCTTTGCACAAGCAGAGGATGTGCCTGCTTGCTGCTTGCACAAATGCAGCTTCACAGACTCGCCTGCCTGCCTGCCTGCCCCTTGCAGAAATGGAGCTGTGGGTGCGGTTCCAAACGGGCCGTGGCCCGGGCGTTGGGGACCCCTGAATTAAAGCATGTAAGGAAGTGTCCCTCGATCTCGACAGCTTTAAGGCAAGTGGAGTTCAACTCCCAGAATTCTCCAGCCCAGATAGGGGGAATTCTGGGAGTTGAAGTCCAACTGTCTTAAAGTTATAAATGAATAAAACTAAATTAAAAAAAAATCCCCAGCAAGGAATGGATTGGGGAGAGGAAAATGGAAAGGACTCTTTTGAGGGCTAATAATTAAGATACGGATAGTCCTTGACTTATGACAATTCGTTTAGTGACTGTTGGAAGTTATAACAGCACTTGAAAAAAGCGACCCCTGACCGTCATTCACACTTGTGATCACGGCAGCATCGCAATTTGGCGACTTGCCAACTGGTTCATATTTAGGACGGTCGCAGCGTCCCGGAGTCGCGTGATCCCCTTTTTGCAACTTTCCGACAAGCAAAGTCAACGGGGGAAGCCAGATCCACTTCACCACCGTGTTACTAACTTTAACAATTGCAGGGATTGACTTGACGACGGTGGCAGGTAAGGTCGTAAAATGGGGCAAAACCCACTTAACCACGGTCTTGTTTAGCAACAGAAATTTGGGGCTCAGCTGCGGTCGTTAAGTCGAGGAGTGCCTGTATTCCCTTTTATCCCCGAAGCGGCACAACACATAACGGAGCATCAGTTTTGAATGTCAACGTTGAAACCTACTTCGCAGGTGCGTTCGTCTGTATTTACGTCGACAAACGAGAGCTGGGCCTCTCCCCTGCCACCACTCCCGATCCAGATCCCGGTCTTCTTGTTACTTTGGTTTGTGGCCACCATGCATTCCGACGCAAAAGGAGAGGGCACCGAAATGTGTCTCATGAAACAAACGAGCTCTGCAGAGTTCAACGTTTCATAAACCTGTGGAGACACCGTATTAGTCAGCGTCTGTCTTCTGCCAAATGTTTTTGCGTGCACAAGTTCCTAGTGCTTAATGTCAACGCTGCTAACATCAGATGTTTTTGCTTTGACAACAGTTGGAGATGCAACCATTTTCTTCTTATGTTTTACTCTTAGAGTTAGAGCTAGAGTTAGATGATGCTGGGGGGGGGGAGGAATGTGCATGAGAGTTGAGCTAGACATAACAGCACCAAACCTAGCGTGAGAACCAAGGTTATTGAAATAAGAGATGATAAGAATTGGTGGGCTGGAGGACTGGAGGGAAAGCCTACATTTCAAACTAATTGGAGAATGTGATTTATGACAGTTAACTGGAGGAGGGAATTGTGCTTTGATACTATGTGCTCAGGGGAGGGGAATCCAGTTTTTGGCTTCGATTCTGTGAGTGCCGATGCTATGCTCCTCTAATAAATATTCTTTAAGGTAAACAATGCCTTGAAGTTCTTTGAAGAGTTTCATCTGGCGGAACCATGACAGCTAAAATATGTAGCGTTGGAACATCTGTGTCTCATTTATTGACGTCGACTAGGCCTACCTGGTCAGACGTAGGTCTTTCTTGAGGATTTTCTTTCAAACATTTCTTAATTAAATCTTCAAACCTTGGCCAGGGGGCACAGCCGTACTCTTTGACGGGATCTAGAATAGATATTTCTGAGCTTAATTTGGAGAATCGCATTACAGGGACTAACACTTGTCTTGCAAAAGCAAAAACTGTTTAAGGGGTCCTTGGTGCTCTCTGAGTTTGGTGGTTTTGTTGGAAATTCTGTTTATATATAGCCCCACAGGCCAAACAGACAGTACCATCACCAGGTGCTTTACTGCTCAACTGTTTAACTGTAACAGGAAAGTGGAAAGTCTACTTAGAACAAAAGAACACAAGAGTATATACTATAGATCCAAACTTGTAAACACTGTCATTCTACTGGCTGAATAATACTATTGTAGTTGTTGCATAGAAATACATTCCAACAATGAATTCCAAAATGTTTCCTTGCAGACGTTTCATTACCAAGCTAGGTAACATCTTCAGTGCTGGGGTCCTGATGATGTTTTCTGATTGGGTAATAAAACGTTTGCAAGAAAACCACCAAGTTCAGAGAGCATCAAGGACTCCACAGTTCAATCCTGAGCTACAAATATTATTGGACATGATTGAATAGAATTATTTTTTTTTTTAAAAAAAAGGGCTTAAGATACTAGTTTTTCTTGTAATCCAGATTTGGTTGCTTTTTTTTTGCATTATAAACTTTTGCCTTTATTTAAAACAAACAAACAAATGAAATTCAAATACATCCAAATTAGGACTGAGAATTCACATGTTTCTGTGTTTTGTTTTTACATTTGCTGGACAGACTAATATAAAGTAGATTATTCCA